TATATATATATATATATATATATATATATATGTCTGTTCCTTTCAATCTATCTCTCATTCTGTTTCTATCTATATATCCAGCTACTTATTTAAAATCTATTCATATCTATCTCCCTCTTTATTCATATGTGTGCGTTTATCTCAATATGTTCAAATCTATAATTTTCTTCTTAATCATTTCATTCCACACAAGGTGATAAATAGCCACTAAGATACAAAGAGTTACTGAGACAGAGAGAGAATAGTAAAAGACAGAATTCACGGAATCAGAAGTTGACATTGCATTTAAATTTTTGAAAATTGTAATTGGTAAGAAAGCTAGTAGGAAAGAGTGTTACACAAGCAAGAAATTTGGGAAAATTATCTATCTATCTATCTATCTATCTATCTATCTATCTATCTATCTCAATCTGTTCCTACTTATCTCTCCATCTGTCTACCTCAGTCTTTTTCTATTTATAACTCAATCTATTTATAATATATATATATATATATATATATATATATATATATATATATATATATATATCTGTTTGTTTATATCTCTACCTCTTAATCTGTTCGTATCTCTCTATATGGTTTTATTCACAAAATTCTTTTCTTTATTGCTATTTTTCTTCTACATCTATTTTCTTTCATCCACTGTTTCTCTCTTTTGATTTTTGTTTTGCTCTTTTACTTTCTGTTTTTCTTAGATACTTTTATCTCTCTAAATCTCTTTCTTTTCTGGTTTCCATTTTCACTCTCTTTTTTTTTTTTGCATTTATTTTTGTTTCAGTTTCTTTCTTATTTTGTCTTACTCTCTTGCTTTAACATCTTTCTCATTTCCACCTTATGCATCATTTTCACTTTATGTTCTCTCTCTCTCGCAAGTCTTTGTCACCATCAACTTCTTTTCTTCTTTCAATCGATCGTCTCATTTTAGTTCTTTTTCTATATCTCTCTCTATATATATATATAGTGATTTTCCAAGTGTAGCTTAGATGTGGCACAAGGCCGAAATTAGGGGGCACCCAGTGCCAAGCTTGCCAACCATTACACTGCCTCTCTCTCTCTAAATATATATCTTTATTTTTTTTTATCTTTTATCATTCCTTACTGTCATCCTTTCTCTCCTTTCTTCTTTCTCTCAAAACTTTATGCAATTTAAGTTAGCTTCTGTTTTCTCGATCATCATTATTTATATCTTGAGTGTCTGCACCAGTATTAAGTGGTAGTTTATACCGTAGATAAATGGCCGCAAGTCCTCTTGATATTCCAGCTGTTTTCAATGATGCCTGGATGATTCCAACTCTTCCTCTCCCCTCATATCAACCTCTAGTCTTTTTTCTAGACTATTCAGGACCATTCTCAGTACTCCAATGATGACTGGCATGACCATCAACTTCATACCCAATAAATTTGTCAGTTCTTTGACCATGTTGAGAGACTTATCTGGCTTTTTCATTTTCTTTTGGATTGATTCTGTATTCTGCATGAACACTGAAATCTCTGCTCTAAGAGATTTCCCTTTTCCTGTTAGAATTTCTGGGATGAGGAGTTATTATTTATATTTGAATTATTATCTTCATCTGTTTTGTTATTAAAATAGCAACAAAGATGAGGATATTAGTTAAAATAGAAATAAGGTCTTCTTGCTTAACAGACCCAATCTTTTAGTCTGGATTTTGTGATCCATTTGATTGTGACAGTCTCAAAAGATTTAATGTTTCCTTCTTCTTTTTCTTCTTCTTCTTCTTCTTCTTCTTATTATTATTATTATTTTTTTTTTTTTTTTTTTTTTTTGACAATTTAACTCTCAGAATAAGTCAGGCAATTATTGTACCCAAGCATGTCTGAAAATGTTCTAACATTCGTGTTCTTCAGAAACAGACCATATGAGTCATTCATTGCCAAACAGTAGAGGAAGTTATATGTGTTCAAGTTACACTGTTGACAGAAAATGAGTGAAAGGGATCTAGAATAGGGGATTGATATCAAGATTTGTATGAAATTAGTAAAATCATAGTGATATATTAGCCGCATTGAAAATTGCTTATGGTGAATGTGTTATGAAGAAATTGGATATTTTGAGTGGCACAGATAGTTCAAGGATTGGCAAGAAGATATGCACAATGACACAAAAGTGTGAAGCCAAAACACAAACAGATGCAAATATGGACAGAGTGCAAACCATGATATTCTCAGATTGAAGATTAAGTGTGCTACTGATGGCTGAAATGAATATGCATATTTTAACAGAGGATTTGGAAATTAAAAATATTTCCTCAAAAATAGTAACCTTGAATCTTGATAATTTAATTCCCAGAATGTTCATTTGAAAGCAAAGTTTGCTTACTGGTCCTTATTGGTTGCTGTCACCTTCGAAGTACTCCATGATAGTGAACAAGTAAACCAAAGTTCAAACTGAATTCATATATTCATGCCATCACTAAACATACCTAAATCCTGCTGCTATGCTCCATCTTTACAAGATTCAGATCAGACCAAGTTTGGAGTACTGTTGCCATATCTGGGCTGGTGTTGTCCAGGGTTCACTGTTCAGCATTGACAGAGTTCAGAAGAATTTATATGGTCTTGTTGTGAATGATGAATTATTTTCAAGCCCACAATCCTTATCCCACAGATGAAACATTGCTAGACTGTCATTGCTCTAATTCTATTATTATGGCAAATGTTCTAACAGGTTACATTCCTTAGTTCTACCAGCTCAGACATTTGCAGACAGGATCCACTATACTAAGTTCACAGTTGCATGTTCTATTGATAAGGAGTAAGTGTCCACTCAGACAGTTCATTACCCAGAACTGTTACAAACAGATTCCTAACATAGTAATTTCCTAACCATGATAATTTTAACCTCTTCAAGTTCAAGATCAGTCAGTATCTATTATACATACCATTATAATATGCACTTTCTGTTTCATCCATCCTTTTCCCTTAAAACAATCTCATTCAGTAACTCTCTAACTTGTGTGGCCCTTGAGCCATGTATTGAGTGAAGTAAGCAAACTTTGCTTTCACAGGACCATTCCAAGAATTAAATTGTCATACTTTATATCTCAAGTATTTGCGTTCTATAACTAGATGCCTGGTAGTTATTTCTGGAGAGTGAACAACGGTACATCACAAAGACTTCAGCAATGTCATTATCTGGACAAATTCTTCCTTGAATTTCTAACAAATCTAATCTCAGTGCTAATATTTTGGGCATCATTCCAAGTGCTCCACCCCTTTGGGTCATGACTCACAGTTTTATGTTTCATAGATTTCTCACTTTCTGAACTTGGTTCTGTTATTTTCCCCAATATTTTCTTTTATTTTACCTTGAAACTCTGGTTCATTGGCACAGTGACATTTCCAATCTTGCTGGACCTCTTTTTCTTTTTTTTCTTTTTTCTTTTTTTTTTTTTTTTTAAGACTATCATAATACAGTCTTTGGTAGTTTGGAATGGTAATAAAATTAGATGGGATTTTAATAACCAGTGATCTTCTGTCATATGGTTAATATTATTATTATTGAAAGAGAGAGCAGCACACCAACAAAGTGATGCTGCTGTACAAACATATAAAGATAAATATACCCATTATAACACCTAGTTCAATAATGGTATACTAAGTGCATGCGTCCAATAATGGTATCCTATATTTCTAGGAACCAGTTCTATAAAGGCAAGTAATTTTTAGGAATCTATTCTGCTTATTTTCTTATCAATCAGAGAATGGAAACAAATCACTTATATATATATCAAAAAGAATTAAACCATTTTGATAATTTTATACAAAACATTTATTTATTAAAATATTTCCAGACTGAAATTCTGTTTACATTATTTTTCTGTTTAGAACTATGATGCTTTTTGATTCTTGTGTCATCAGCTGTGTTATGGTTTCTTAGCTAAAACTGAATCAAACTGAATCCCTGCAATCCCAAAGATCCAATGGAAGACCTATCAAATTTATGACTAGAAGATTTGGCACATTTTTAACTTCAAGATGATTTCTTTTATTAAAATAAATTAACTTCATCACAGAAAACCCTCTTTCAGCTTCTGCAGAACTTGAAACAATGGTATTTATTATATTTTAGCTATTATATATCAGCTATTGATATATTTTCAGATAATCCAGCAACCTGTTTGCTACTAAGTTTTATGGTTTTAAGAATTGGTTTGCATGAACCTGTGCAAGCCACCACTGCATGCATCACAGATGAATATGTGCAACATGGTGAGAGTTTTGATAAAAGAAACAGATAAATTTACAAATGGAGTTCAGTTAGAAATACCTTCTTGTAAAGTAATTCTGTCCACTTGGATGGTCACTGATTGAGGGTGTCCTCAAGTATCTTGATGTAACCATGTGACCTTGATGTCACATTGGTTACCTTATCCTTTCAACTTTAAAAGAAAATGACCCTCTTGACACCCAGCTATAATACTCTGCTATTGCATCTTTTTATATGCAGAAATGCACAGTACACCAGCCCCTGGGAGATGGATGTACAGCTGGTGTAACTGAGAGTAGCTCAGAATGAGAGAAATCAGAGACCCAAGGTTAAATTCCAGTTGCATTTGTTAGATTCACTTATGCACAAATACCTTGGGAAAGGTATGGCTCCATACCATCTCCCCAGCTATGGGTTAAATAGCAGGACTTGTATCTAGAAGAAAATCATTATTATTCTCAAAAAATTGTTAATGCAATATTCACTCACAAAGAAATAATTATTCTTACAATTTAAAATATATTTCTGCTTTAAATAATCCAAAAAGGGTTGACAAGCCATAAAAAACAAATCAGTGAAAATCCAAGGATATATGCTCAACTATTATTATTATTATTATTATTATTATATATCACTT